ACAGTCTTTTCTCTCCAAATTTTGTTCACAGTTTTGTTTGTGTTTCTTTGTTTTCCTTTTGACTCTTTTTTTGAGGGAGACCACAGCCTATGCACATTCACTGTGTTGAAAGGATTCTTACAAGGAGAAGTGTCTGATTAATTCCATCATTTACCACATAACCTTCTTAATCTCATTAACACTAAGCATACTGAAGTACTTTATATTACTAATAGCTCTTAAATTTTGCTCTTAAATATTCAGGTCTAACATAAAGAGAAAATAAAAGTAGAATTTATAAGGTTTATACATTTTGGAAAGATTAGTGCTAATGAGGTATTCAGTTTTTTATAAGGATTCAGCTAAAATTTAGGTAATTTGCCAGCAGAAGTTTGTGATATTTAAATAAGCAATATTTTTATTTTCCTAAACAGCTAACCACAGTAACAGTAGACTAAATGGGAGATAACATTATATATTTTTTCACACAGAATAAACCATTATATATATTTTCACACAGGATAAAAATATCTATACATGTTAATATTTTGCAAATCAACAAATCAACATACTGCTATTTATTGTTTTTAGATTTATTTTTTCTTGTACTAACTGAATTGAGAGGAAGTCTGTAGAGAGTTCAAATAACATGGACAAATTAAAACATTTTTTTCTATCCTTTGTTTTAAGTTTCTGCTTAGGTTAACTCTCATTTTTAATACATAAGAACAAATGTGCAGAACAGCCCATCTTATTATTTCTGCAGACTTCATTCAAATCATATATTTTCATTTGCTTTTTCCTAAAAACTTCTGGCACACACTTAAAATAGGGATGATATAAACAATCTTAAAGAGAAAGTTAATACCTTTCTTAACCATAAACAACTTGAAATCGATGTTTTGCCTCTGTCTCTTTGATTAACCATGTGTTTCTTTACTATTTTGAGTACTAGCTGTAGCCTGTGCTAAGTACTTTATATGCAGTCTCTGATTTAATTTTTTTTCTCATGACAATTTAGTGGTAGGTACTATTGTTATCACTATGTTCTATTATCTTTATTACCTATCTACCCATCATCCATTACTTCCAGTTTCATCATATTATGGCCAATTTTATGATATCTATCTGTCTGGGTCTTGGATAGTAGACAAACTCTTTCCTGATTGTTTTTTTACCCTAGGAAGATCAGCCAATTTTGGTGAACTCTTTTATACATACATATGGCTATTGGGTGTCTGTGGCTTCTGTGTACATATGTCACTGCTATGGGGATGGGGGATATTATTGGGGTTTTCTTCAAGAGAGATTTTAGAAGGGATGTGATCAAATGTAGAGCTATAACAATAAAACAACTGCTACTTGCATCCAGCCCCACCCTTGATCTCTGACCAAAAATGCTGAAAAGAAAAAAGACCATTATCTCACTAATTGAGCAATGGACAGGCTTGTCTCTTGTCAGCTTTTCAAAGCAGAATTTTAAGATTCCTTCCTCATTAATAGGTAACATTTGGAGAATATTTTGAAAAGTAAAACAAGAAAATAAACATCATCTGTAATTTCACCAGCCATACATTAATAACATTTAATATATTGTTTCATATGTTTCCTACCTTTTAATAAATGTTGATGAAAATGCTGTCATGCTTTACATATGTTTTTCGTACAATTAGAATATTTTAAATTATATTAAATAATCTTCCAAAACATCCAATTTAATGATCTTCACTATTCTATGATATGTATGTTCTGTAATTTATCAGATTCAGCATGGAAGGACAATGGAGGCTTAGCCTTTCATTCAGAAATAAAAGCAGAAGGCAGACATGTCATATGCATGCAGAGTTGCAGTTAGCATATCTCTGAACATATCGAGAATATTTTCCCATAATTTCTGTTTTTTAAATTTTTTCTATTTAATTTTAAAATTTTATTTGCCAGTACTATTTTGTTTAGTGGAATGTATAGTATTGAAATGTGAGATAAAATGTTGAATCAAGTATTAGACAATATTAAAAGTGTTTACACAAAGTGAATGGACCACCACAACATTATGTTATGTGAAAAAAAGAGCAATTCTCAAAAGGTTACGTGATGTATAAATTCACTCAAATATTCTTAAAATAATGAAATCATGGAGATGGATAAAAGAGTAATATTTACCAGAGGTAAGTATTTGGGAAGGGAGGGGTGGTTATAACTATAAGTGGGGAGCAGAGAAGACTTGTGGAAATGGAATAGTTGTGTATCTTGATTGTAGTAGTAGTTAGCCAACACTATGTATGTGATGTAAACTTCATAGCATTATAAACATACACAAACACAAACGAGTGAAAATATAATTAATAAAATTCAAATATACTGTCTGAATCAGAAAATGTTAAAGTTATTTGTTCTTTCCTGTCATTTTAAGTACTAATAATTCATACTTAATGATCCCCTAGAAAATTATGGAGTAGAAGTAATAGGAATGAACCTAAGGCTATTAGACTCTTAAAGAACATAAAGCTAACCTCCTTAGACATGTAGATAGATGACAGATAAAGACACATGGTCTGTGGGTGTGAGTGTGTATGTATGTGTTTTTGTGTGTGTGTGTGAAATATACCTCGCTCTCTGTCTCAGTGCCTGGATGTCATAACTAGGGGAAGCTGTGACTGGTAGCTGCCCCTCTTCATGTTGTGGCCGCTCTTCATGCAGCTGGTCTGTGAGGAACTCTGAGTTTCCAGTTCTCCACCTAAACTTGTAAAGTGAGCCTGTCTGAGATGCTGGGAGCACTAGGGCTGCTGCCACTCTGGTGCCTGCACTGCTGCGATAAACAGCCTGTTTGAGTGGGGTGTCCTCAGAAGGGGAGTCTCAGGGAGTGACCCAAACTGTGTTATCTCACACAGTGATCTCATTTGGCAGAGAATTTTCCATTATTTCATGTTAGAAATCAGACGTTTCTCTAAGGATTTGTGTTGTAGATGTGATGTGAGGCTCTAGGGAGGAGTAGGGGACTTATTGAGAGAAGTCTGTTTACTTCACCCACTGTGCTTGGCATGTGTAATGGTCTATAGGAAGCATTTGGTGAGAACACTATTTGTAAACACCTGGCGCAAAGGTGCTGACATGATAGTTCTATTTCTGTAGCATCTGGCCAGTGGAGATCTTGGCCAAAAGCCCTTCTTCATAGACTGGAGCAATTGCAGATCTGGAAACCTAACATGCTTAACTGAGGGATCTGATGCTGGGTTGATTCAGTGCTCTTGCTCTACCTGGAGGATAGCTGGTGAGTGCTCCAAAGAATTTGAGTCACTCCTCTTCCTCTTTTTCCTTATCTTCCTCTTCCTTCTTCTTCTTCAATTATAAAACCACATTCTTGGAAAGCTTCCTGATCATTGGCCCAGATGAGAAAGCTCCAGCAACATTATTTTAAATGTTTAATATACAATGTTTTGTAAGTCCCATTGATTGCAGGAAGAGTTTTAAAAAGATGTGAAAGACATTCACATGAATAACATTTGTATTGAGTAAACAATGATAAAAAGTACAGATGAGAGGTATACATTGGGGTGTGAGTTGATAATCTAGCAGGTTGTGGGGCTAGAGGGCTTTGGGAAAAGACAATGGAAGAACATACAAACAAATAAAAAAATACTGTTTTTCAAACACTAAAACCTGTAGAGAAAGCAAACACATAGGATCACACTTTGTTTATATTTTCCCCTTGATTTCAGACGTTAAGTGCTCTGACTTCTATTGTGGAAAACTTCTAATTATTTACATCACATACTGTGAGTCTATGCATCTTGCTCCCTATAGGATGTTCACAGGGAAACATACAGGCATGGTTCAATACAAATATTTAAAATGAAAGCTTGTAACCTTGTTTCCCTTTTCTCCATTTCCTTAATGTGGTGAATAAGAGTACAGTTTTACAAATGAAAAGGCTCTAGTACATGTCCTTGATGGCAGCAGTGGCAAACGTACTGGAGAGACTGGATCTCACTCTGGTATCTATCCTGGGACACAAGTGCCCCTTTGAGGGTTGTAGAAGACAGCCCTCAAAGAGGAAAGGAATATACGTAAAATCTGGGGTTCTATGAGAGAAAGATAGAGGCGGAGCAGAAAATTTCAGGCTTGAACAGGGTCAACAGATGGTGCAATGTGGTCAGTGCCTCCAAACCCAGAGGTAATTATGATGCTCCTCTGTTTACAGCTCCAGGGAGGAGAGTTGACCTGGCTGTGGTCATACAACTTAGCAAAAAAATCTGGGGACAGAACTGAGGCCTTTGTTAGGTCTCTCCTTCCTTCTAGCACACTGGCAAATTGTACGAAGAAAGTAGAGGTGGAGATGGGTTCATGTACAACAATATGGCGTTCAGCTAACGTGGATCAGGGCAGGAAGTTTTATGATTTAGGGAAGGTGTAAGAAAGGGAGGAATCATTGCCTCCAGTCAGGAAAGAGAACCCTTGATCACCAGTTAGAGAATCCCCCAAGTCCCTCTTTGCCGTAAGTCACTGAAATTGAGATCTCAGGCAGAGCCTCCGTGAGTCAGGAGCACTTAATCCAGTGGAGAGATCCCAGAACAGGATATTTACCAATTTGAGAATCCCTGTCACGCCAGTTATGGATAAATTTGCATTTTAGTTGGGACATTGCTGGATCAGCCCAGTTTTAGGTAGTTCCCCTTCCTGCTGGGTGGGGTAGCAGGCCCTATAAAGAGGTTCTCTGCTCTACAACTCCTAAACTCCTGGTACTTGAGCACCGATCTGCTTTGGAGAACCTGGTGAGTCTGCTTCCTTGAGTTCCTCTGTTCTTTGTGCCCTGAAATGTTGAATTTAATCTGAATACGGCAAGTCTGGCAGATCCAAACCTATGATCATAGGTTTCATGGTACTTAGTGAATGGAATTACAGGATTAGACTACATGATGCAGTGTTTTATATTGCTTTTTAAAAAATGCACAGTTATGTGTCCATATGAACAGAGAAGTTAAAAGGAAAGCCTTTGTTTGAAGAAAGGGATGAAGTATTTTTCTCTTTTCCATATTTTCCTGGTGTCCTTTTCAAAGGGTTGTGTCTTAGCAGGTGTGAGAGCCTGCACTTCTTCCTGAACAGCCCTTACTCTGTGCCCAAGTCAACCCACCAGTGCTTTACAACAGATAATGATGATAGGAATAGCTTGTGAGATTGCCCAGGGGATCTGAACTTGTGACTGCCTTTCCTGAAGATGTTATTTTCATGGAAAAACATGCTTGCTTCTTTATTACAGAGATGGTTTCTTCGGAAAAATTGTATGAGGAAAGGCAGGATTTCCTAGGGCCGATGAAGCAACTTGCTAAAGTGGAAAGGAGAAGACAGGAAGTCATGAAAAGGGAGTTAAGAGTTTAAATAAATTTTTGGAGATTGGAGAAATAATATGTCATGGTATTACATAAGCTTTGGTTTCTCTCTCTGGAGGATTCCTTTCCTGTGAACACTGTCGTATCATTTCTTTCAGATTCTGAGACTCCAGCAGGATGTCTTACCAACAGCAGCAGTGCAAGCAGCCCTGCCAGCCACCTCCTGTGTGCCCCACACCAAAGTGTCCAGAGCCGTGTCACCCCGAAGTGCCTGAGCCCTGCACCACCAAAGTGTCCACAGCCCTGCCACCTCAGCAGTGCCAGCAGAAATATCCTCCTGTGACACCTTCCCAACCCTGCCAGCCAAAGTGTCCACCCAAGAGCAAGTAACAGCTTCAGGATTCATCAGGACCATGAAAGGATAAGAATATTTGGCTCACTTCGTTCCACAGCTTCACTTGCATCTTCTCATCAAAGCCATCAAGGGATACACAGGAGCTTCTTTTCCCCTTGGCCTATGATCTGCCCTTGATGACCCTGATAGCAAAATGTTTCCTTTCTGAGGCTCCCTTACTGCAGTGTCAGGTGGAGACTTAGAAAAGTCCTCAGCAGTGCCAGTTCCCAGAGCTTTGGAAGAAACACCAGCTCTGTCCTAGGAGCTCATCGAATTCTGTTGATGTTTCCTGTGTCTGTCTGTCCTGGGCATGAGCTTCTGCCTGTGCAGTTGTCACTTTCCTTTCCTCCCTGAATAAAGTATCTGTGCATACATTTGTGAATGGATCTTTTGTTTGTTTTCAAATCTGCTTTATTGGCAATATTATGTAATCATTTGGGTTTATTTCCACCTTTTTTGAAAATCCACAGGAAGGATCTCACAATTTGGGTCATACCAATGATTATGTCTGTGATATTTAAACCCCTTTCATTTTTCCTTAATTAGTGTTTAATTGATTTGAGGAACATATTATTCAACTTCTCTGAATGTCAATCTCTTTACTGTAAAGTGAGCAATATAACTTTTACCTAACAAACTAGTTTAAGGCATAAAATTGAATTACTATCTGAAATTTTGTTGGCACAATGCCTGACACATAATTAGCTGTCTTTTGATAGAAATTTATTTGCAGCAAGATACCATCATTTTTTCCACCATTATCACCACCACCACCACCACCATCATCATCATCATCATCACTCCCCATGACAACCACCATCATATTTGTTCCAGCAAGAGAGTGGTTTGGCTGTAACTAATGTAGAAAACAAGAAGCCTCTGTTTTGTTATTTTTTATTGATTCCTAATACCTATACACATTTTTAGGGTACATGTGATATTTTGTTACATGGATCAAATGTGTAATGTCGAAATCAGGATATTAGGAACTTTATGGCATTCATCACCTTGAGCATTTATCATTTCTGTCTTCGTGGAAACATTTACTTTCCTCTCTTCTACCTATTTTAAATACAATGTGTTGTTGTAAGCAGTAGTCACCGTACTCTGCTATCAGATGTTAAAATGTACTCCTTTTATATATCTGTATGTTTGTACTCGATAACCAGTGTTTTCATTCTCCATCTGAACACCCTTCCTGGCTTCTGGTATCTATCATTCTACTCTCTATCTTTATAGATCAACTTTTGTAGCTCCCACATATGAGTAAAAACATGTAATATTTGTCTTTCTCTGCTTGATTTATTTTACTTAACATAACGACCTCCAGTTGAATCTATGTTGCTTCCAATGACAGTATTTCATTCTTTTTATTACAATGGAATAGTATTTCATTGCCTGTATAGCCACAATCTTCTCTTCATCCATTCATTTGTTAATGGATGCTTGGAGATTCTACCTTTGCTGTTATGAATAGTGCTGCAATAACCATGGGGATTTAGGCATCCTTTTATAATCTGAATTATTTTCCTTTGGATAGATACACAGTAGTTGGATTGCTGGATTGAAAGATAATTCTATTTTGGTTTGGAGAAATCTTACTGTTTTCCACAATGACTGTACTAATTTACTTTCTCCCACCAAGAGCACTTATAAGACATTTTTCCTTTGCATCCTCTTTGGCATCAGCTATTTTTTAAATTTTACTTTAAGTTCAGGGGAGTACATGTGCAGGTTTGTTATATAGTTAAATTTGTATCACAGGGGTTTGTCATAAAGCTATTTCATCACCCAGGTATTAATTGTAGTACCCATTAGTTATTTTCCTGATCCTTTGCTTCCCATAACCTCCACCCTGTAGTAGGCCCCATTGTCTGCTGTTCCTCTCTGTGTGTCCATGTGTTCTCCATTATTTAACCATATTTATAGTGAAGACATGCCACTATTAGTTATTTGTTTCTGCATTAGTTTTTAAGGATAATGGCCTTCAGCGCCATCCATGAACCTGTAAAGCATACAGTCTGATTTCTTATGACTGTGTAGTATTTCATGGTGTATATGTACACTTTTTCTTTATGTAATTTATCACTATTGGGCACTTAGTTTGATTCCTTGTCTTTTACTCATTTATGAATAGTACTGCGATGAACATAACATGTTCATGAATCTTTATGATAAATTATTTATATTCCTTTGGTATACACCGTAATTGGATTGCTGGTTTTAATGGTAGTTCTTTCTTTTTAATTTTAGTTCTTTGAGTAATTGCCACTGTATTCTTAATGTTTGAATAATTTACACTCCCACAAACGGTACAGCATTTACTTTTCTCTACAGCGCTCTAGCACCTCTTTTTCTTGACAATTTAGTAATAGCCATCTGAGTGGTATGAGACTGTATCTCATTGTGGTTTTGATTTGCACTTCTCCAGTGATCCGAGACATTGAACTTTTATTCATATGCTTCTTGGCCACATGTATGTCTCCTTTTGAAAGTGTCTGTTCCTGTCTTTTGCCCTTTTATTAGGCTGTTTTTTCTTTTGTAAATTTGTTCAAATTCCTCCTTGGATCCTGGATATTAGACCTTTATAAGATGTGTACCTTGCAAAATTTACATCCCGTTCTTTTGGTTGTCTGTTTACTTTTTGATAGTTTCCTTCACTGTGCAGAAGCTCTTTAGTTTAATTAGATCCCATTTGTCAATTTTTTTCAGTTGCTTTTGACATCATCATCATGAAATCTTTGCTGGTTCCTGTGTCCAGAAAAGTATTGCCTGGGTTATTTCTAGGTTTTACAGTTTTGGTTCTACATTTAGGTCTTTAATCCATCTTGAGTTGGGATTTTTGTATATGATTTAAGGAAGGTATCAGTTTCAATCTTCTGCATATGGTTAGCCAGTTATCCCAGCACCATTTATTGAACAGAAATACTCTTCCCATTGCCCATTTTTGACACATTTCTAGAGGTGTGTTGTCTTATTTCTGCATTTCCTATTCTGTTACATTAGTCTATGTGTCTGTTTTCCTGAGTACTATACTATTTTTATTTATAGTATGTAACCGTATACTTGTGGCTAGGTAGCATGATGCCTCCAGCACCCATTCTCTTTGCTTAGGATTACCTTGTCTATTTGGGCTGATTTTTGATGAATTTTAAAATTTTTAAATAGTTTTTTTTTTCTAGTTTTGTGAAGAACTTCATTGGTAGTTTGAAAGGAGTCACATTGAATGTGGAAATTGGACAATTGGCCCTTTTAACGATATTGATTCTTCCTATTCCTTGAGTATGAAATGTTTTTCAGTTTGTTTGTGTCACCACTGATCAGCACACAGTAGTGTTTCAATTCTCCCCTTGTAGAGTTCTTTCACCTCTCTGATTTTCCTATATACAATTATTTTATCCTTTTTGTAGCAATTGTGAATGGGAATGTATTCCTGATTTGACTCTTGTCTTGGTTGTTGGTGTATAGGAGTGAAAGCAATTTTTGTACATTGGTTTTGAATCTTGGAAACGTTGCTGAGATTGTTTTTAGTTGCAAGATGCTTTTGGTCTTTGACCACTTGTAAGGTGCTCTAGATATAGAATCATGTCATGCCACAAAGCAAATAGTTTGACTTACCTCTTTCTCTTTTGATGCTCTTATTTCCTTATCTTCTCTGATTGCTCTGGCCAGAACACATATTGTGTTGAATAGGAGTGGCAAGAGATCTTCTTATGCTAAATGTACTCAATTTTTCCCATTCTGTATAGTGTTGACTGTGGGTCTGCCATAGATGGCTTTTGTTATTTGAGAGTCTGTTTCTTTAATACCTAGTTTGAGAGTTTTTAACTTAAAAAGGTGTTGAGTTTCATCGATAACTTTTTCAGCATATATTGAGATAATCATGTGATTTTTGTCTTTAGTTTTGTTTATGTGATGAATCACAGTTTTTGGTTTGCATATGTTGAACCAACCTTGCATCCAAGGAGTAAAGCGGCTTGATTGTGGTAGATAAGCTTTTGATGTGTTGCTGGATTCAGTTTGCCAGTAATTTTTTGAGGATTTTTGCACTGATGTTCATCAAGGATATTGGCCTGAAGTTTTCTTTTTTTGTTGCGTCTTTGCCAGGTTTTGGTATCAGGGTGATGCTGGCCTCACAGAATGAGTTAGAAAGGGTTATATAATATTTTTGGAATAGTTCAGCAGGAATGATATAAGCTCTTGTTTGCACATCTAGTAGAATTCAGCTGTCAATTTGTTATTCTAGAATATTTTGATTAATTGGGCTATTTATTACTGATTCAACTTTGGAGCTCATTATTGGTCTTTCACAAGTTCAATTAATACCTGGCTCAGGTTTTGGAGGGTGTATGTTTCCAAGAGTATCTTGCTTCTTCCTATTTTTAACTTATGTATACATAGAGTGTTATAATATTCTGATTACATTGTATTTCTGTGGGATCCAGTGGTAATATCCCACTGTCATTTGCCATTTGCATTCATTTTGTATCTTCCCTCTTTTCTTCTTTATTTGTCTAGCCTGCAGTCTATTTATTTCATCAGTTTTTTTAAGAAGCGTCTCCTAGATTTATTGATCTTTTGAGTGTCTTTTTTTTGTGTGTGTGTCTCTGTGTCCTTCAGTTTGGCTCTGATTTTATGGTTAGTTCTTATATGAAAGTCTTCTTGTTTTGCAGTTGGTTTCTCTTGGTTCTCTAGTTCTTTTAGTTGTGATGTTATGTTTTTACACTGAGATCTTTCTAACTTGTTTGTTTTTTTGAGATGGAGTCTCACTTTGTTGCCCAGGCTAGAGTACAGTGGCACAATCTCAGCTCACTGCAACCTCCGCCTCCCTGATTCAAGCAATTCTCCTGCCTCAGCTTTCTGAGTGGCTGGGACTACAGGCGCCCACCACCATGCCTGGTTAATTTTTTGTATTTTTAGTAGAGATGGGGTTTCACTATGTTGTTGTGCTATAAATTTCCTCTTAACACTGGTTAAGCTGTATCCCAGAGATTCTGGTATGTTGCCAACTTGAGAACTTCTTGATTTTTTTTTCCTTAATTTGATTTCCCCAAAGACATTCAGAAGCAG